TTCCCTTCCTGGATTATTCTGATATCTCGCTACCATGCCAACGACGTAGCTAATATCAGGCCTAGTGCACAGCATTGCATACATGAGACTTCCTACTGCCGAAGCATAAGGGACTGTCTTCATGTCATCTATCTCCTCAGTCGTCTTAGGAGACAACTCCTTAGATAAAGGTACTCCATGTCTGAAAGGTAATGTACCTCTCTTAGAGTTCTGCATACTGAATCTGGTCAAGACAGTATCTATATATGAAGACTGGGATAAGCACATCATTCTTTTCTCACGATCACGAATGATCTTGATACCAAGAATGTGTCCTGCTTTACCCAAGTCCTTCATATCAAACTACTTAGACAACCACGCCTTTACGTCCGACAACTCCTTCTTGTTGTTGCCAATACGAAGTATATCATCCACGTATAGCACAAGAAACACCACCACTCTTCCACTAATCTTCTTGTATACACAGTGCTCATCCGGACATTGAGTAAATCCATATGACTGGATTACCTCATCAAACCGAATATTCCAAGACCTTGAGGCTTTCTTGAGTCCATAAATGGACCGATTAAGCTTACAAACTAAGTGCTCATGCCCGTTTGCAATGAATCCTTCTGGTTGCTGCATATAGATGTCTTCCTGAAGGTTCCCATTAAGGAAAGTCGTCTTAACATCCATCTGCAACACTTTATAATCCATATGAGTGGCTACAGCCAAGAGAATCCGAATGGATTTAAGCATAGCTACTGGCGAAAAGGTCTCATCATAATCGATACCCTCTTTCTGGGTATAACCTTTCGCAACAAGCCTAGCTTTAAAGGTTTCCACCTTTCCATCTGATCCCCTCTTTCTCTTGTAAACCCACTTGCATCCAATGGGACGTGTCCCATCGGGTGGTTCTACAAGATCCCAGACCTGATTTGTGTCCATAGTCCCCATCTCAGCTTTCATTGCAACCTTCCATGAATTTGCATCTCTATCTTGGAGTGCCTCGTCATAAGTTCTTGGGTCCGATTCTAGGTCTCCTTGAACTGAGTCCGATGACTCTCCAAGACCTATCCATCGGTCGGGTTGTGTAGAAACCCTCCCACTACGACGAGGTACCGTCTGTACTGACACACTATCAGTGTTACGTGTTGCAGTATTATGTGATGTATCTACTTGCGTACTCGGTGGGGAACTATTGATATCTCTCCCTAACTCCTCTAGGAAAAGTTTACTACTGGGCTTATGATCTATGATATAGTCTTCTTCCAAGAATCTAGCGTTCGTACTAACGATCACCTTCTGATCCTCAGGACTATAAAACAAACCACCTTTCGTTTCCTTGAATAGCCGACAAAAAGTCTCACTTCTGATCGTTTCTCCAACTTGCCAGCCTCCTGCACTAAGACATGTGCAGGGCAACCCCAAATTTGAATCTGTGAGAAACTAGGCTTGCGCCCTTTCCAAAGCTCATAAGGAGTACTGTCTACTGATTTTGAAGGAATAGAATTCAGAATGTAACATGCTGTCTCTAATGCAAATCCCCAAAACGAATCTGGTAACTTCGAATAAATCATCATCGACCTAACCATTTCCATAAGAGTTCTGTTTCTTCGCTCTGCAACCCCGTTCTGCTGGGGCGTGCCGGGTGCAGTCAGCTGGGATTCAATCCCTGCTTCTGATAGGTATGTCCTAAACTCTCCAAAGAGGTATTCGCCTCCTCGATCAGATCGAAGACACTTGATACTTTTACCTTGTTTTTTCTCCACAACTGTCCTATACTCCTTGAATTTCTCAAAGCATTCGGACTTGCGGTGCAACAAGTAAATGTATCCATATCTAGAATAATCATCAATAAAAGTGACGAAATACTCATAGCCTCCCCTAGCTTGGATCGACATAGGACCACACAAAGAATGAATCAATCCTAGCACTTCTTGGCTCCTTCGCCCCTTCACCGAAAACGGCCTCTTGGTCATCTTACCTTCTAGGCAGGACTCGCAAGTCTGGTAATGATCTTCTACTGGACCAAGATGCCCAGTAGATACCAACCTTTGAATCCTCCCAAGGTTGATGTGCCCAAGCCTAAGGTGCCAAAGATATGCTTGATTCATCGAAGACCTTATTCTCTTATTAGTTTTAGTCGAGACATTATTCAATTCATTTTGTTGCAGTGTGGAAGACTTTGGTTTCAGAACATATAAATTGCCAACCATTGAACCAGAACAAATCAAATGATTACCATAACAAATAACAACTGAGTTATTAAACGAAATTGAATAACCATTCAAAACGAGTTTAGAAACTGAAATTAAATTCTTCCTAAAACTTGGAACAAAAAGACAATTGTTCAAAACCAAAATACTAGTATCAAATACTAAAGTAACTACTCCCACTGCAACTACTGCCACTTTCGTAGCATTGCCCATGTAGACTGTAATCTCTCCATGCCTAAGCCGTCTGGTTTCCTGGAACCCCTGCAAAGAATTGCAGACATGATCAGTGGCTCCAGTATCTACACACCAGGTACTGGTAGATACAACCGCTAAACATGTTTCTACGACGAAAGTATGAGAGTTACCTTCTTTGGCCTTCTTGAGGAGAGGACAATCGACCTTCCAGTGCCCTGACTTATTGCATTTGTGGCATCTACCTTTCGGCTTCTTTGCCACAGCCTGTTGAGGCACTAACTGGGTGCTCTGTGCCTTTGCCTTTCCTGCAGCCTTCTTCCTCTTCCTGCCCTTGTGAGACCTGGAAGGTCCGGCTTGCTCGGCAACCAACGCAACTGATTTCTGAGTGAACAAGGCCTCAGCCGACTGGAGTTCTGACAACAGTTCTGGAAGAGCCATATGCATCTTGTGCATGTTATAGTTCAACCGGAACTGATCCAAACTCTTCGGTAGAGATTGGAGCATGATATCGACCTGGGTTTCCCCGTCAATAAAACCTCCAAGAACCTCTAGCTCATTCAGTTGCGCCATGACCTTGAGAGCATGCTCCCTTACGGGTGTACCCTCTGCCATGCGCGTGTTCATCAGAGCACTTAAAGCCTCTTGTCTTGCAGCCCTCGACTGATGACCAAATAGTTCCTTGAGGTTCAGAAGCATATCTGCAGCAGTGGCCATTGACTGATGCTGATGTTGAAGGACATTTGACATAGAATCCAGAATGTAACACTTCGCCATCTCATCAGCCTTCTTCCACCGAGCATACTCTTGTTTCTCCTCATCTGGGGCATTATCAACCGGCACATCAGGAAAAGCCTCAGTTAGCACATACTTATAGCTTTCAGCAGTCAGCACTATGTCTAAGTTCCTTTTCCAATCAATGTAATTAGGACCGGTAAGTTGATTTTCTTTTAGGATAACAGACAACGGATTGAACGACATGAATGAATAAACCTGATAATTACGAAAATATTTTACTGATTAAACATTTTGAATTTAACTGTTAATATTGACATCCTCAAAACAATACTAACTTAAATTCACCGACATCTTTAAACCTTGAGAATTAAGTATGATGCTCGGGCAACTCTACTAATTCTTCGTTTCTTTAAACAAGGGTTTTTCCAGAACCCATTAATTTCCATAAGTCAAAACCAATTTCATGACGAACGAAATTAATAATCGGTCACCTTTTGGCCATGCAATAAAAATCAGGGACCCCGCGGGGGGTTATGAAATGAATCGCATTCTAAGTGAATCCCATTTCTCGGTCCTAAGGTCGTCAAAATCGATTATACGTTCACCTCGGTGTGACCCGTACGCTCTCATTTGATTTCCTCTAACCGTCTAAATTTAGAAATTTGTTCTGGTAATTATCCTTCAATTAATTTTCAAGTAATGTCATCCTCGGGGAAGCCCACACTATCAATTAATTGATTTACCAACGAATTAGAAATGGAGGCCTTAGGAATTTAAAATTATCTTAACTTTAAATATCCTTCTCAACTTAGTATTTTAAATGAGGATTTTTAATATATATATTTATGCAATTCTAAATAATTCTATGCACACAAGGCAACAATTATTCTCATGCATAAATAAACAAATAAATAATTAATGCCATAAATAAATATCCACTATTATGGCCGATTAAATATTTATTCTCCTTGGATTAGGATCTCTTTCCTAAACCAACTGGAACTCCCACTGCAGTAGAATCCCTGTTGACTTGTACTGCAAGTTCCACAAAACCTCCACCAGTAGAAGCTGCGGCCGCGCCGCCCACTTGGCTCCCGACTCCAGTTTCTTCCTTGCTTTGTCGAGTCTCTTTGGATCCTTCTGAAGGTCCGGTCTCCAACGGTCGATCACAATACGAAAAATATAATTTACAAAATTACATAAATCGATTCCTAGATCCAACGAGTGGATGTACATGCCTTCTACTAATTAATTAAACTATCCGGTCAACCCCCGGGCAATTAATACAAGCATTCATCCATAATTCCTCGACAATCCCGAGGCTTTAAAACAAATTTAAAACCATACAACCAACCATCAATTAAGCACAAGCACATAAAAGGGTGGCCATAATAGTGGATTAACTATTTCCTGCAAAACCAAGTTATGCATATAATCCAATATATATGGCTGCGCTTGAGCACACATAGACAATTAAGCAGTTTAATCCGGATCTTATACATAACGGATTAACCTCAAGCTCTGATACCAATTGTTGGAACCCACGAGGATCTCGATATGCACAAATCACGGACAAACATTCAACATAAACCTATGCGCAGCGGATATAAAGGTTTGATGAAGAAAACTTACTGCTTAAAATTTATGTAGATCTGGCTGGCCCGAACAGTTGACGTCACGGCGAAGTCAACGACGTTGACCGGTCGGAAAAAGGGCGATTCACGCGCTCTCACGCGCGCGCGTTGTCCTCGGCAGCTAGAACCTTCCGGCGGCGCGTGCGGCAGCGTACGGCGGCGATCTCGACGGCGATCTCTTCGTCTCGTCGTCCTGGTCGTCGTGGTATGGTCACTTGCTGATTTTGGTCTCCGGTTTGGATGTATGATTGGAATCTCTATATACATTAAGATCTTCTACTGTATTCTCAAACAGCTTCCTAGATCTTGTATCAGTGGAACACAAGAAATAGAAGAACTCCTTGGAAGAGAGAGAAAGAGAGGGCTGGACATTTCCCAAGGATTATGGGATTGTTCTCTCTCTTCCATGAGCCTAATGCTGTATATATAGAGCTACAGTAGGGACCCTAAGGAGAATAGGATAAGGGCTTCTAATATATTAATACTGTGGAGCAACCCCACAATTAATATATTAATAATATTAAAGTCCACCACAATAATGATATTGCACTCCCCTCACCTATCCCAAATTACATTTGACACTCCTTATTATTATTATCCGATTTACCTCCCCATGTTTAAGATATAATGTTCATTAATTAATTCGATCACTAATAATCAAGAATTCATTAATATATTATATTACCGAAGCTAGCGCTCGCTCATAGCATTCATATTATGCCGGAATAAATCCACCTGTAGGGTTTAGCATAATATTCCTTCATGAACTCACTTCGGGGACATCATCATACTAACGCACATGGTGACCGTAAATATCCTAATAGCACATCGAACACACAATGTTATTACCCAATTCATTAAGCATGTCGACCCGGCTTGGATCTCACCCAAAGAATCAAAGCAACAACAATTATGTGCACATGCCTATTTAATATCTTACGGGTTAAGAGCACGCAATAATTAACTGAGGCCTAGTTCGTTTACGACGATTAGTATAAAATGAACATCCCTCTCTGGGATCCTGTTCAATACATAAATGTACTAGTGCAACTAATCGGTCAAGACAAACCGTACGATTGACACTACAACCGTTGCGATGGGTTGTTCAATTCCATCTAGGTTGTGAACCAACGATTCTTGTTTCGCAAGTAACTGATATAGTGATCTTCGGTACGCCCGATGACGACCCACTTATCTACATGCAAAACAACAGAACGTGGAACTTATTTAACCAAACATAATTCTAATTCATCAAGGAATAACAAGTGTAATATCCACTAAAGCCAAGCTTAAGTATATAACACCAACAGATGTCGGGCAAGGAGCGTGAGATGACGGAGGCTTCAGGACTTTTATATTTTGACTGTGTATATATTATGACGATTTACGTTTCCGCTGATTATGGTTTTGACGAACTTATGTTCTGACTGGACTTTTTGGAAAAGCCGTTATCTTAATTTTTAACAAAATCATACGATTACTGAAAGCATAATTTTTCCAAAAAGTCCAGTCAAAACATAAGTTCGTCAAAACCATAATCAGCGGAAACGTAAATCGTCATAATATATACACAGTCAAAATATAAAAGTCCTAAAGCCTCCGTCATCTCACGCTCCCTGCCCGACATCCTGACCTGAAAAAACATGATAACAATGGGAAGTGAGCACTATGGCACTGTGCTCCGTGGAAACTCATACTAATGTAAACATTGAAAATAATAACAACATCATGATATCGGCATATACATAACCTCAACATGAAACCGGTAATAACATGAACATGAATCTGATTTTGTCACGCAAACGTGACCCTGACCGTTACCTCATCTGCCGGCAAAAACTAATGTCGGACACCATGTGCACACTCTAGTGGGCAGACTAAGGCCACTAGAACCCAGAATGGACCGGCGACCATTGCGAGCGGATACTGACATGAAATACATACCTCAAACATGGTACCGTAATTATAATCAATGTAGTACTTAGTCTGAGTCCCCACCTGATCCGTGAAAATAAAGGCAGTGCTGATACTCGTGACCTGATCAAACTGAAATATAATATAAACAATTACTAACGACTATGCTCAGTCTGTTAACTTAACTGATTAATTTCGTTAAGATGCTCTATTGAACCTGACATGATATTTAGACTTAACCGAAATAACCGGAACTGAACTGACATGAACTGATCGGACATGAACTTACTGAACTGAAATGAACCTGGAATTTAACTGAAAATCCCATTAAAATTGTGAACCGGACTGAAACATTAACATACGGACCGAACCGATTAAAAATGGAACTGAACCGGTCCATCCGGTTTGAACCGGTCTGGACCGGACTGCCGATCGGCTGAACCGGGCAGTCGGTGTTGGCTCGGCCAGCAGTCTGACGTGCTGCGCACGCGAGGTCATAGTCAGTAAGTTCATTTTAGGTTGAAGTGTTCGATTCATGTTCAAGAATTCATAGCTATACCATGTTAAGGTTCGATTATGCCTAGTTAAGTCATGATCGAATAACTTTGAATTTTACCCGGCAACTCATAAACCATTTTCGTTTAATTGATCAATTTACATCATTTTATATTCAGTTACTTGAGGATGGTCGAGGTAAAATATCGTTTCAGCCCTGAATCGGCTCACAGCCGTCGGCAGCGCTCGTCGCGCACGCCGCGGGCTTTACCATGTCACGTTATGTTACTTTCAGTTATGGTCAAGTTCGTTCGTGTGATTTATGTCATGATACAAAATGATGTTTCATGTTAATTTGTCTTGAGTTGCCGAGGGAAAAGGTAGAATCGGTCGAGAGACGGCCTATCGCCGTCGGTGGCGCACGGCGCGCTCGCCACGGACCTATGCAGTCTAGTGTACAAAAGTTCTGTTTTCAAGTTATTTCCATAATTATGTTCATGTTGAGTCAGATTATGTGTATTGAGGTCAGAGTGCACGGGAGTAATTACCGGACGGCCGGTAAGGGTCGGCCGTGGCCGCGCTGTCCGCACACAGCGGCAGCAGCGCTTAATTTATCAGTATAAATTATGTTTTAGTTCCGATATAATAATGTTATCGATTATTATTTTCGAAATTAATTATTTTCAGTCGAGATTACCAAAAATTATTTTCGACGTACCGTTTACGTTCGGAATAATTATGGTAATTAAGTATTATGCTTAAAAGTTAATTAGCCTAATTAAGTGATTAATTAAACATTAATCACACAATTAGGGCTAAAAAGCCGTACAAATGATCTCAAATGCTTATTAAGACCGAAACCATTTTTTTTAAGCCTAAGGTATCATTTTATCTTCCCCTTTATATGGTTTACGTGGCAAGATGAGGGAGCTTAGGAGGGATTAGTCATCCTTATTTCCCTAAACAAGGCCCAAGTGTCTTTAGCATAATTAACCACATCTTCCCTTGTCATCCATTTGGTTTCTATATAAAGAAAGAGTTTGGGAAAATTTTGATCCAACTTGCAGCCTTATATGCGTACCATACTAG